TCTGTGCAGCGCCCTCTGCGCCGACAACAGTGAAGCGGTAGAAAACATTCGCCAGCACTGGTGATTGCAGTCACCAATCACCAGTCTTCAAGTCTTTAACCTCAACCTCAACCTTCAAGAAGCCTCTGGAAGATGTATATTGCGGGTCCTGTTATCAATAAATTCAAAATGAGCGCCAAAAACTGCCCTATACAGCAAGTCCCAGAGTAAAAAAGCAGGATGGTCTGACCTTAGTGTGGCCTTCATACCTGACCATAGGTCGATGGAATTTGTTTATTCAATTACTGTGTTGACTAATGAAATGTCTCAGGGATGTATGGCTTCGTCTAACATTCCGTTGTTGCATCAGGTAGAACGTTTATCCATGGCCTGATTTTGATCTGACGCGGGTCAGCGACTTTAAAGGTACATCTAATTGTTGACGCCATACGATCCGCTTTTCAGTTGTTTACAGCTTTGCCAAAATTTTGCGCGGCTGTACCGCACCGTTAGGATACCTTTTCAGAAACACCTTCGGGAGGGGGTCAAATGTGCCCCTCAGCCAGGCGCGTATTAAATGAGGAGCTATATGTTTTTGGATATAAATTTCTGCTATTCGGTATCTTACATTTGTGTAATCTGCAATGCGAGAATACTGTTAACTTCTCAGCTTATCTCCAATACGATCGAAGTCTTTGAGAAAGGGGTGTCGCAACGCGGTTAATGTAAGCTTGATCACTTAACCGCCAATTTTGATTCACCTGCCTGATGACAGCCGATTTCCACTTGGAGCGGTGCTTGTGGGCTGGGCGATCAGATACTGCGTTAGCGAATCTGTCGCGCAACGGTCCTGAAGCTTTCACTACAGGGGTGTGTTTCTCAAAGCAGGTGTGTAGGCGCTACACGAGGAAGATGGATAAACCTGTTCATAAAGGACGCCAAAAAACGGGCTTCTCCCCGGATTTGAACTTCTTCCCTCCCAAAAATAGGGAGCTTAAGTCTTCCCTAGCTGAACAGGACACCACAGTCCTGCTCCACTACGCTTTCTCGTTCTACCTCGGCGGGAGATTTGTCGCCGGGCATCATTATCATTTTGTTGGGCCTCGATGGTGGCCCAGGCTTCGGTAATCGACGTGAGATCGGTCCTATGCGTCTTTAGACGCTTATGGGCATATGCGTCTTTGGGAATAGAGTGTAATCAGGCTGTGACGCGGTATTCACGATAGGCGTGTTCAAAACGTCTAGTATTTTGCTGACCATCGTCGGACGATCACCGCTATTGGTTCGGTCGCGTGGTGGCGATCGTCAGGTTTTCGAGACTGTGTCATAGAATATTCGCATCGAAGTGGAAGTCGGCGCTGCTGAGTCTTGGCTGGTGCTGCCCTCTTCGCTAGTTGACACGGACCGTGACCCGGGCGCTAGCGGGGAGTCGCTGGCGAAGTCTCGTCATTTCAAGTTTCTTCAGAGCATAGTGGCTGGTAAATTCGGCTCGCTTTTGAGTGCTAACACTCGACCGGTTCGTTTGAAATCTCCGATAACAGGTCACGACAGGATATCGCAGCCAACGTGGCTTGTTGCAACCAATGTAGCTTAAAATGCCGCTGAATGATGTTAAAATATTCATGCAACAGCACAAAACTAGTCCAGAGTTAACAAGACATACCAGTTGTGCAATCAAAACATGCAGAATGCGACAAAAGCAGAAAATGTTTCAGCAAGAATGGACCGAACACGGAGCTCTAAAAAAGATTGACGAGGTCCTTCATCTGCATTTAGCTGAACATCACATCACAGCCTGCACTTTTTTCTCTTTTTTTTTTGCTCGTGACAAAATTATTAAAAATCCTTAATATTCAGATGATTTTGAGCTCTTTTTTAATGTCACGCATGTACGTACTAAGGCTCCAGAAATTTGGAGGGAAAACTCACCGTTGGGAAAGGTTAAATTAGACTTTTGGGGAGCCAGTGCCCCGCCAAATAATATACAAAGTGGCACTTGCAGCCTGGCCCATACACATGTTCATACTGTGCATGACCACTGCACAAAGTATCGTGAAAACCAGCAAGTGCTTTACAAAGTTTATGAACCATATGCCATAGTTCATAGCCCTTTGTTGTGATTCATTCACACGATGGCAATTATAAACTCAGTCGAAGGTGAACGCAATTAATTAACCTAAAGCAAACACACGTCAGTGCAAAGCAGCAAAATGCAGTGACTTTCCCAAACCACGCATATTCTAGGTTGACGCCCCTCTAAGCGGCAAGGCTTGCTGGGTACCCGCTGGCCTGCACCTGTAGAACTCCAACATTCCCACCGCCGCGGGACGCGTCTTTCTTGCCGACGCCTCGGCACGCCTGATCAACGCAGCGTTCATTGCAGCGGATACAGAGTGGTGGTTCAGGTCCTTTGTACATGAATGCAATCCTGCTCGCACCCTATCTCCTCCACTCTATGCTAGTGAAGTGAAGGGGATTCACATGCCTTGCCTGCGCGACTGTTAGACATGACTTATCGGGCAGTAGTATATGACGTAGACAGTTCATCCATGAGATTTATCATGCATTAGAACTAGTGGACGACATGGGTGGCTTGTTCATGATGATATCCAACGTAAGCTAGCCTCCTGAGAATCAGAGACAACCTAAAGCAGCTGCAACATGGGATTGATGTCTTGCCACATTTGATCATGTGCATATCCTGATAAAAGTTACCTCACCACAACCTGCAACCATGAAGGAATGTGTAGTTGTATATTTACAGCAATATTTATTTAATGAAACCAACTTGTAGGATACACGCACATAAAAACGAGATCGTGCGTGGGAAAAAACACATCAGTTTGTACCTCCCAAGACTGTGCAGGTAACAGGTACGCTCTAAAGCAGCAACCATCCACGCCCCGTCAGCTAGATTCAACTAACCGCACATTGCCAACATCATAAGCGGGCCAAGTGTGCAGTCCGCTCGTTGCCCTGGAATGCGGCCCACGTGGCGAGCTGCCTCTGGAGTCCGTCCACGGTCCTATCTCGCGTGCAGTCGTCACTCGTTCCAGTGAGCCGGTCGCCGGCCACTCCGCACTGGTCCACTAGCACCACATCAGTGCCCAAATCCAGCACTCTTACACCACACGGCGGGAGGGTCTCAAATCAAGAGTACTCCAGCAAGGTGCCGCGATGATCCAACGCGTAGCCGTTGCCAGAGCCGCCGTTCTCCGCCAGACGGGCAGCGATGACGTCACAGCCAACAGATGGCGGTCGTGGCGGCGGTTGCGGGACGTAGGTGGCGGTGGTGTTGTGACAGCGGGAGCACGAGCGGCGCAGGGCGGGTCGCTGTCGGGGCGCGTGGCACCGCATGGCGAACCGCAGCTCGTTGGCCATCTCCAGGCAGATGGATTGCTGTAATGGAAATAATGTACGGCTCGTCATGACTATCAGTCAATTATGAAAAGGCGGGATACGGAGTAGGCAGGTAAGACGAAAACCAGAACTACACGGATGGCGGTCCGGGGAGCGTGTTGCATCTTTACAGCACTCACCCAGTCAAACAATTGACCAATGGACATATCCTGAAAATAAGATATCATAACCCATGTCCTGGAGAAGCGCGCCAGAACATTCAGCAAAGTGGAGCGGGAGCATGAGAAACTGTGACCGAGATCAGCGACTAGGAGAGTCAATTTGCATTATTTTGTGAACGCCTCGGTATCCCTCTCCCCAGCGTTGATTAAGGCCACCCAAATTTTGGTGTGGGCCCTATTACCAATATTTTGTGGTGGGATCAATATCTTGTTCTTGTTGGAGCATTCCAAAACTCAACGAAATATTAATATAACACACAATTTGTATCCCCTTTGCGTAGAATTTAATGGTCTGGCATACTATTCTGCTCGAATAGAGGCCAATTTAAAAATGGAGTAACCTATGAACTCGCAACCCACATTTCATGAAAGCTCATGATTGCAAATCAGTGGTGATTGTGATTTGTGTGTGACTGCAAACCTTGTTTAAGGAAGGTCGGGTTGCTGGGACCCCTGGCTGGGCACACCCAATCAATCATGCTATCGGTTGTGTTGCGTGATGGGTTAAGTCCACTGGCCGGCCGTTGGCATTCGTTTTCACTCAATGATAATATACTGACTATACAGGACAGGGTCACGTAATGACATCATATCTCGTAATAGCGTACTTTGAAAGATGACCTAGCTCCCCAATCAAGCACTCCAAGGAAATGCATAGCCGCCAATGTGGTGTCTTCTTTGCTCCAAACATATTCAACAAACAGAACACGCTGGGATCGACCCTTACCCGATCGGTTTGCGCGTTTTTCTTGGAGTTCCAGCAGAACTCGAGGACGGCGACGATGATGGCCAGCGAGAGGCCGCACAGCAGCACTACGAACACGCCGCCTGCGAACCAGAGCCGGCCGTCAGGGCGAAGCGAGATCGATACCAGACTCGCGATGAATCACCCGCGGCTAAGAGAGACACCGACAGGCACTAATAGTGTAAGCGGCGGTAGGCAGCAGTAGTATAAGCGGCGGTAGGCAGCAGTAGTATAAGCGGCGGTAGACAGCAGTCATATAAGCAGCGGTAGGCACCAGCAGCTGGTGCGTTATCGAGTGACAGCGGCAGCAGACTAAGGACAGCTGTGACGAGGCCGGCGGCTACCAGGCGCAGCATATGGAGATGCTCCCATCCTGTCCTGTCTCATGTGCTAGCAACCAACCGGATGGTCAAGCACTTGGCTGGTGTCGCCAGACCGCTTTCATTTAGCCACTAATTGAGAGTGCTAATGTATAGCATAAACTCACGAGCATAGAACCCATACGGCCCTGTGAGAAGGCCAGCTCACCTCCCGAACTTATCGAAAGTTTAGCGCCAGGCTAATGACGCTCGTAGACCGAAACCACCTTTGGGTCTCGAAACGTTGACGCATGTCTCTCGGCTATGCACACCATGTACAATATTAAGCTTGGTGCTAGCGGCGGGGGAAATGCTCATAGATCATGCCTCACGCAAGTGTCGCGATATGTCGTAAGTACATCGTACTTGAGGGCCCCGCCGACGCACGGCTGAGCCATTGGCGTGTAGAAACACCCGAGACGCGTGCAAATGTACTTTTACAGGGCACCTGCATTAAGATGGAGTGTGTCTTCGTTTCTCTTTCTATTGAGTGACCAGTAGGATGTAAAAATACGAGTTGCTGGAAAACATCGGGCTGCATTGACCTGCTCAAAGTGAAGACATCATTACAAACTCGTGCAATTACAGTCGTGCGCCACAAGCCCCACAAAATATCTGAAGCAGTTAGCTCTAGCGTTCTTACAAATTCTCCGGGGAATGTCGGACGCCCGATAAGAAAATTCACTTTTCTTGCCCTTCTAGCGATTTAAGCAACTTTTGTAGGGTTGTGGCCGCGCTTTAGCGGCCCCGAATCCACCAACGTCCACCAGCGAGATGCAGACAAATCTACACTTTATGAATTCAGAAGTCCGATGTTAAGCTGTCGGCTTTCAAGCTATAAAGAAGGACGTCCAATTTTTTTAACCATTGATATTATTTATGACACTTGTTAAAATACCTTCCAGAAAAAAACATTGGTTTTATTGACAGCACCCAACGTTTCAAGCTGTTGTCATAATCACGGGCGAAGCAGGCTGAACAAGCCAATAACTTGCAATTAAAAAACCGAGACACGCTAATCCACAAAATGTTCCGGCTTTGTGCAGACACTTTCAGTACAAATGTGTTTAAAATGGTAAATTGTCTGAGCTCCCACATTCTAAAACCCGACTCTTTACTAATTAGGGCTACATAAAACACAGGCGGCTGAACCGGAAGGTTACGATGACCATAGCCAGTCTAAGATTAGAAAAAATGCTTACCACGGTGATCAGACGCCATGAGCATTGACCGCATTTCAGGAACGTTCCGGTCATGACGCCTGATAGTCGCGGTCCAATCTAGACTTGTGTGGTTGCTGCGAGGCCTGGTCTGCCATGTTTGATTCGCTGGCTACCTTGTGTTTAAAGATAGTTCCATCCTCATTCGTGCTAAGCTGTTAAATATATAACTGAAGTTTAAACATCGTGAAAATAATTGAAAATATTAGTAGAGTGCAATCGCATAGGGATATCCTGACACATAGACTTTCTCCAAGCTTTGAAAGCAATTGCTACCCCTCTTGAAGATATTGCCTCATTAATTATCCTTTTGCCGGCCTCTTGCACGTGGCAGGAGTCGGAGCACTACTCTCGGCGCGGCTCATCTTTGAGGCCTCTCCTGAATAACTAATTACCTCCAGAAACATCAAAGCTGACATAAGACAGGGTGACTACGCTTCTCCACTCGAGCGTGATTATGTTGTCAATGGCGTGAGCTGGCTCATTCACTTGATAAACATTGTCAGTGGAACTGAATGCAGAGCGGGAAGCCACGCGCACGTGCCTGTGGTGTCCCCACCTCTTGCTCCCGTTATTCATATTTTTAGTTTCTCCGAATAGCAGTGCTTAGAAATAAAAGTATGCATTAACATACATAATATTGATTATAAATATAGATGGGCGCCAAATGACCGCTGCAGTCGGCGCGCCCGAGAACACCAATCAACAACAACAAAGATGACAAATATGCCTTTTATTTTGAACAAACTCCATATAGGCGTGTCAGACGTCAAGGTACATGATATTGTTGATCGTTTTTTGACTGATCTGTCAAAAATGTAGCCATTCTCAGTCGGGAAAAATCCAGGTTTGCCGTAAAATCACTTCAGTGGGAACGCCAGATGCAACCAACGCGAGCTAGGAAAAGGAACGAAAACACTGTCTCTCGTCCATGACTGCTTTGCTTGAACTTAAAACTGTACAATCGGTGCTAAGGTGTAACATAGATGTACGAACAAATTTTCGGCAAAAAGTGATAAATGAGCATGTCGGTTTGTAACACAATCGGAGCATGTTGAATTGTCATGCAATCGGTTAATGAGTAGTAGATCCACCAGTCGAGAGGAAATGATCGACACACCCAAGCTTCGTCTGCCTTATATTGCGGCCTTCACCCCTCTCACTTTCACCTATTTGTGACGAAAATATGCACATGCGTAGTCAGTAAATAAAATGATCACGCCCTCTTTAAGAACGAGGAAAATATTACAGCTTTGAAGCGCATTTGGATTTTAATCATGTTTTGATTGCTGCAGCCTGTTACAACAGATTCCTGCTGCCTGGCCGATGTTCTCAGTGCTGTAGCCTCTTACAGCACATCCCTGCGGACTGACCGATGTTCTCGATGCCCAGCTCGCTGGCCTTCGACTCGGACTTCTTCTCGTCCCGGTTGCAGACGTCGCCCGTGTCCTTCCACCACTTGTTGTACAGCATCTGTACCACGCCGTTCTCCTGCAGGTCCAAGATGGCTAGCGAGATCCGGTCCCGCCAGGGCGACCCTGCCGGCGCCCAGACGACCCCTGGGTCAGTGCGCTCGCCGCCCCTCCCCCCTCACCCCCCCCCCCCCACCCCGGCCGCGCCGGTGGTCCGGGCGCCACCTCCTGCCAGCCTGCTGCTCCGGTGACTACCTCGGGCCGGGTCCGGGTGAAGGAGATCTGAACACGGTATCATGAATGATAGACTCCATTATGCCTTTGCCGGTCCACCAGGACCTGGGTGCTCTCGCCATATACTACAACGGATTGCTTAAAGTCATGCTTCGGCGAACTCGCCGGCCGACGTGAGTGGGCTGGGCTCGGTGTGCTGCGCATCGCCCCGCCGTTGTTGGAGCGTCTTAATGATAACTAGTCAAGGCCGCACCGCCACCGAACCCATTTCTCCAAGACCGGCTCAGCCGGTCGCCAGTTGACACCTTCTGATGCCCGCCACTTCCAGCACCCTACGCCCGCTGATTTCGTGCGGACACCCACCAGCTGGAGTGGCGATGCCGTAACCCTTGGAGTCGAGCAGGCCGCCGACCTGCGTGAGGTTGCAGTTGCGCTGTACGATGTAGTCCAGTCCGGTGGACTCCATCAGGTAGGCGTAGTTGCCCTTCAGCACGCGCTGCACGCCGTACTTGTGGTCGGAGACGAAGACGGACTGCTTGCGGCTGTTCATGAAGCGCCACATCTTCTGGTACGTGTCGATCTTGGAGTCCTGCAATCAGCACGGTCAGGTACGATCCAAGCCACGGTGAGCCTAGGCAACACCAGAGTCCCATTTGATCTCATTGGACTAAGGAGGCTTTGTAGATGCATAACAATACGACGTGCCCAAGGAAACAAACATCCCGTCGCATGATTTTGAAGTCCGCAACAATAACATCGCATCGCAGGCCAACACCAGCGTGTTGAGATATTTTCTCAATCAGTAGGATATTTTACTGCACACAATAAAAAACAATTTCAGAACGCGTGACAACGATCTAGATGGACGTACCTTAAGTCTGCAAATAGATTTGCACGTACAGACGCAGTAGAGTATGTAGTCGGATAGGTCGCCGCAATATGACGCACGACGGTCACACTCGCTCAAATGGATGCTTGTTTTTCTCTCACAACAGAGGGGCCAGATTACCTCTGACAGGTACTCGGTGCTATCTTTTTCAGAGCCTACGCATCGTATTCCTCCTATTTAGAGCTCAGCGACGCAGCCTTTGCAACAGAGTGCTCAGTATTCGATGCCAGTGCCGATAGCGGGGAGCGACAGGTTCCCCACGGTGCGGCAGCGGGTCCGTCAGGGCTGGCCGGCGTGGAGGCCCTCTACACTGGGATGGCAGCCCACGTGCCGCTGTGGTAAACATCCTCGCGCTCCCTGGTTACGACACTCGTCGACCAACTCATGCCCACGATGAGAGGCGTAGCTCAACACGGCATTGTTGGCTTTCGCGAGTTGGCACTTCAGTGATCATGCTTTATATCTGAGCGCATCCATCGCCGCCATTTATGAAAGGGAGTGTTCCGTATTTGTATGGGGTTTTGAAATAAAATAGCCATCTTGGAGACCATTCAATGCAGTACACACCCATGCCCTTTTAAGACCCACACTATCCTAATTTCTGAGCTCTACGCCCGTGAAGATGTACACATTTTTTATGGTGAGACTATTTCAAAGTCAGCCAGGCATCCCTGACACCATAATGACATTCAAATCCTGCAATCATGCCACTCCGTTGGCCACGCGGTGATCTAGGCCAATAAAAATATAATTGTGAAGTCGTTCATATTTGGTGTTCGTTAGAATGATTTCCAGATAAAACGGCCGCCAGTTGACTCTCAGTCAATCTTGTGCAAGGTACGCTGACGTCACCAAACAATGACGTACTGAGCAGCATATTTACTAAACAGGGAACTTGAGTTATCTAGAAAAACCTTTCCACTTAAAAGCGAGGCAATGATTAAATCTGATGCTTCCATAAATATCTTTAAATGTGGAACATTCTCTTCAAGCGGCTCAAAAAAGCTTCATCGGAACATCATCGATATGCTTGAGGAAAAAAACACTTCCTGACACGCCTTTAATAATCATACGCGATGAAACACCGATAACAGAACTTTTTGCTTCTGCCGCAGTGGAAGTGTCTAGAATTTGTCGAAGTCAATGAATTTGAGCTTGTAAAAACTGACCATAAGTTTTGCCCGTTTTTACAAGGGTGTTAACGGGCAAAACAGACTTAAAGACTCGGAGGATTTTCGTGCGGTTGTCTTCATTTTTACAACTTGCGTTTCTGTTGATCTATTGTTTTGGCTGATCCAAAGCTGTGGCTTTCAGTGTATTTTCTTCGCATCTAATGATTATTTTCCAGAGGCGACGTGGGAAAGAAAGGGAGAGACCTAAATTAAATATAAGTGTTATGACGTCTTTCCCTGTTTCACTAGACAGACAAAATCTAATTTAGAAGGAAACCCTATGTCCTCCAGCATAGAATCAGTCTCCAGGGATTTCGTGGGCGTGGGTATCCGAATTTTAGAAATAGTTCGCGTATTGGGAGCCACACGTGCAGGGATGTTTCCAGGGGAGGGCAATGCACATGTGTATGAACAATGGCTCTCAAATATGCTGAGGTCGGTAACGTTGCACGGACATGCTCTGTGTAACTCATTTTTTGCTAAGACAAGTTGTGACCAGCATTCATTATCGACGTTTTATGGTTGTTAGTATTTATTATGTGAGTCATGATTAGGCTCGCATGCTATCCGACAATCCCTAGCGAGCCGTGATGGGCGGTCTGACGACGAGAGTAACTATCGAAGAGTATTTACATCAGGCGCGCTCACTGGGCATGTCCCATTTTCCCACTCTCACCTTCCCTGGCGGGGATGCCAACCGGTTGTTGGGAGTAAATGTAAGACATGTACGGTAAACCTGTCTAACGTGGGGGAGCGATAATACACGCCCGGTTCATACATATGGAGTCGATATTGTCAGCAGAGGCGGCGCCACGGATTTTGACGAGGAGCACGCAAGAAGCAGTTTTCAACTATCCAAAAGGTAAGTATTTTTGCCATAAACAAACCGCAGCCCGCAAACAAATCTGTCAAAAAATGAGTCCAGACGTATTTTGTTTTTTTAATTTTTTTTCTTTAAAAGTTTAATCACGGCATAGACCAAATAGTGCATGTCTAATGGTCCATCTATTCCACTTATTGAAGTTGCGACCGCAAAAGGGCTTTATCGATTTTGCAAGCATGCCCAAAATATGTTGATGGAGATATTTTTGCCCACTTATCATTCGGGCGACAAAATCGTCCATTTTTCCCCTGATCACAACCCCTGAAGTGCCAGATTGCGAAAATCAAAATGTCAGTGTTACACTTCCCTTTCCACGAGTTTGACCGCTGCAGGCCGGCCGCGGGTCAACTCACGCGGAAGAAGGTCATGGTGGAGCCCCCCTCCAGCGTGCCGTACTCGATGTCCTCCTGGTTGGCCAGGTCGGCCGCGCTCTCTGCGAAACACAACACTCACTGCGTTGGTCGGGTCCCTCCTACGTCGACTCAGGACTGCCAGTTATTGCGTCACGCGGCGTGGTTCATCGAAAGCAGGTGACGATGATGATTGGAGCTTAAGCACGCGCCGGCGGCTGAGGTCGTATGATATCGGTCCATGTACTGGTTTGGGAATGCTTGAAATACTTGGAGAACTGCAAAGAAGCAATTTCGCGGATCATGCAGCTAGCACAAACGCTCCTTCTTCTGAACCTACGGTTACGTTTCAGTTGAATTTTACCACGCCTATGCTTTTGGGAACGAGCAGCGATATTAGATATCTACAATTACTGTTGCAAGGGTAACCACACTTGCATCTCCGAAACATCAGTATGTTTGCATCATGTTTGTATGCATCAAACGAGCAGTTCTCATACACAAACAACGTTACTAGGCAAATACCGTCAATTACAACAGGCAGAGCGGAACATCATCAGATTGCCTCATTAGAGACAGCTCTTGAATTTTCAATTCCCATCTTCAGTTTCCGCCGTTCATTTGAGCTTTCCTTTTTGCGTCTGTCCTCTCGTTCGTCGCTGGAAAAGCGCGCCGGACGTGGGAGCCGAAGAATAGAATGGCTGATTCCCCTGGGGCGGTGCTGGGTCGTCGATCAATGGGCCTGCACCGCCGGCCGAGTCCAACCGGCGCTGGGCCGGCCCGTCGCACCAGCAGCCAGGCGAAGTTCGGTGCGGCCCGGCAGTCCCGCCCCGGAGACTGGCTCAAAACGTCAACAGTCGGGCGCGTCTCGGACCAGTCCGCCCCAGAGATCGCTGGACCGATGGACCGACGGTCGTGCCCGGCTCAGTTCAGCCCGGCGCGGTTCCGGTGAGGCCGAGCCCGACCAACAGCCAGCTACCGTGGCGCACCGTGGGTCATGGCCAGCTGGCGTTAACAATGCGGCATCATGCTATAAAACAATTGTGAGTGCAGCGATATATACATATACATATATATATATATATATATATATATATGCATATGTATATATATATATATATATATATATATATATATATATATACATGCATTTAATATGCATACATGTATATAATATAACAAATCAAATAGAGAAACTAATTTCGCGAGCCAAATAGACGGCACTTCTAAGGCAAGACGCCCATAGTCGGCGTCCATCGTCGTTCACGCTTTGCTAGTCGGATGTCTGGGGAGGGGGAGGAGGTTGTAATGGTCGATTGATCATCGCATCGGCCTCTCACGCAGGGAGACCAAGTTTGAATCCCAATCGTGTCCTGGCCTCTCAGCGCCAATATGTCAATGCAATAGCTGACGCGACATAAAATGAGGGTGACGACGACGGTCGCGTTTCTTCGCAGAAAAGGTCAGATGTCCGGCGCTCTACCAATGGAGGCAGGGGGCGACGGCGGACGGGAGGGCAGCGGACGGGGCGGGAGCCACGGATCAGTGGGAGTCGCTGGACCGCTGGGTCACTGAGGACGTAGTCGGGGCCGCCGAGGCACCAGCCACAGCCCGAACACCCGCGCGGACAAAAGCGCGAGCAAAGCATGTATTACGCTGGTGAGACTGCGCCGGCGGTGAGGCTCGTGCCGCGCCGTCTGGCTGTGACGGCTCACCGCTGGCAGCGGCTGGCCAGCCCGACGGCGGCGCCGCCAGGACCTCGTCCAGGCGCTGGCAGGTCGAGCCGAGCTGACCGAGCGGCCGCGCCGCCAACGGCCGCGCCTGGCAGCTCGCAGACGGGCCAGAGGGCGGCGGCTAGTGGGCCGGAAAATGACGCCGCTCACGCCGAGCCGAGCGCACGCCTGTCCCGGCCGAGCGTGTTGCGGCAGACGATAATCGTTAGAGCCTGGCAGCCAGGACTGGACTGTGAAGAAACGGACCGGGTCCGAACGCACGGCTGGCATTCGCCTGCGCATATGGAATAGGAAAGGGGAGCCCATACTCCGCGGCCCAGGGGCTGAGAGATGGCTATGTGATGAAGGATATTGTTAAGGTCTTTGTAGAACACCCAGTAATCTTATCCACAAAATGCGCTGCATTTACGTTTGCAATGCTTGTAAACTGTAGCAATTGGCCTTTCAGCTTTTACGGGTGCGTTAACTTTCGAGGTTGTTTTCGCCCGCGCACGGAAGTTGGTTATTGCTCTGTGTGATTGGCATGCGGCATGTCTTACCGACGCGTCAATATGAAACACACCTCAAAATAAAATTATATTATATAAATCAGTTCAACTCCTCGCCTGACCAGCAATCAGCACAAGAGACAATTGAGACAAGAGACAATTTGAGACAAGAGACAAGAGACAAGAGACAATTTGAAGACCTTGCCGGGCACATGTTGTAGCGTGATATGCTATGTGTCGTTGTGTGCTCACTTGACTTGCTCACAACTGATGGATGCTGTTACTGACATCGTATTTAGTGGCTATCATTAGTGTAGCGTACATCGGACGTTAGGGTCATTTTGATATTACATTTATTTGAACTGGGCATACTGTTAACGTTAACGTTTGGGAGGTTAAAGGTGGCAAGACCTGCCGCATGCTCGCCCGATCATTTCGTATCTTGCTTTTTCCAGAAATTTTGCTTGACGCCGTTATAATTTGCAAAATACTGTCCCGTGAAACAAGCATACGGAATGTCAGGTACGTACGACATACCATTTAACATAAGTAATCTTTTCGGCAACAATTCCATTCATAGTGTTATGGCCGGAAACAAAGTGCAGAAATGGCCGTTGTCACGAACGATTACAGTACAACAATTTTAACTTCAAAAAACTTCTGCGTTCATTTTTCGACAACATCCATTTTGTCAACGATTTTTGGCTAGAAATGCTTCGCAAAAATTTAAAATATGTTGATAAAGACGCATAATTTGATAAAATTGTGGTTGGCTGGCTATAAACGAGACCATGCTTTTACGGGCAGGCATGACGCACCACTAGACAACTTTTGAAACACCGAATCTCTTGAAGAGCGCGGCTACATGTCGTACGGCCCATCGAATCGTCGTAAAAATGACAAGATCCAGTCAATGGCAGAGAAAAGACCTTTACGCCAGTTCTGCAGCCATGCGAAAGGAAGCAGCTCCGAAGCATCGGTCGGCCGGAGGGGGCAAACCTGTGCCCTGGCTGCCACGACGCCGTACTCACGTATGGAGGTGGACGTGCGCTCGACGGTGAGGAAGGCGGCCAGATTGGCCGTGTAGGAGGAGATGATGATGAGCGTGAAGAACCACCAGATGCTGCCCACTATACGGGTGGACGCCGCCTGAGGAGTGTCGGCGGATGAGCAAAACACTTTTTCAGCCAATCGCACACAAGACGCTTCTGCAAAAGGTTACGTTATGCATGGTATCAATTACTTGCTTGCAATTAAGGTCATCATAAATCATCTGCTTCAGACGATCTTTTCCTCACGGGAGTTCGGTCGTTTGCGGCTCGCATGGCCGCCACCGCCTATTTCTATACCGCTTAAAGGGAATGTCCATCCTCTAATGACAACTCATCCATCCATATTTCTAGAAAAATGCACCCTAGAGAAACCTCATGATTATTTACGTCTAATAATAACACTGGTTAGTCACACTGCAGCGGGGTGGTAAGCACATGCAGGCAGTGACGCAATAAGGCTATTCATTTTAACTATCTTAGATTCCAAATTATGCTGTCCACGCTCGGTAACAGCACCGCCCAACGCTGCTACACTTCTGCTCTGTAGTGACGACCACCGTTGTCACGACGACCGCCGTGCGCACCCCTACTGGTGCGAATAAAAGAACATTTGTGATTGGCCCAACGAACAAGAGCCTGTTACCGAGAAGCACATTGGTTGAAATTTTAACCAGTACGTCGCATGGATCATGGGACACTCCCATTCCCAGAGCCAAAGTGCGCCTCGAAAAGAATCATTGTGGTAAACGTCATAAGGGAAAAATCAAAGCCATAGTATATCGTTTCGTTAAATTTGCGGAGTAGCTCCACGCTAGCATATCTTTTTGGTCTACACGAAATATTTCAAGTTTTCTCAACATTTATTACGTAAATGTTTTGATATGTTAGTGTGCGGTTCGCACCACAGAAGACACGTTGGAAAAAACAAAGAAAATGAAATTCAATACTTTCATAGCGTTGAGTATGGAGTCCAACGAGATTTCTTCCACAAGGTGAGCTACTTCAAAATAAAAGTTTTGAGCTTTTCAGAAGGAATAAAGAAAACTGGCATTGATAATCCAATCGTACGCGTCTGATGCAATACTAATTGAAAGGAACAAATTAGGTGGGATACTCTTTTTGACATTCGCACTGGTGGGGGTCAGCGCGACCGCCCCAAAGTTCTTTGAGGACACCTCTCCGGTATGCTTTGCAATCACGCCCAAATTTTTAGCAGCCCAATGAGCATGCATTGCGCGTGTTTTGATACTTAAAACGTGTTCCTAGCTGCTCTGGCTTCGGAGCAGCGGCACATTTTTAGAAACACCGCAAAACGTTCCATGGCCGGCGCGGGCGGCGAACGTCCACGGACGATGTCGCGGAGCGCGCGCGGCGGGTCAATACTGTTACGTTGACGGAGCCACATGTCATAACGGGATGCTCAAAATACATAAAATATACACCATTGACTCAAAACTAAACAAGGAACACGTCTGCTTGAGCCATTTATCAGAAGGCGCAGGCTGTCGTATGTATGCCGTAAAGCTGAAAAGTGCAACTTTCTGGAAAATTTGACCTTTGACCTGTCATAATGGTATCAATTATTGACCCAACAACTCAAAAACTATCACCCAACAGTTTATCCCGATGAGACCAATACGTTGAAATATCGACTAAGATCTAGCCTAATAAACTTGGAAATGACAGGGGGAATGAGGTCGCATCCCCCCCCCCCCCCCTGTCAGATCGCGTTATGAAAAACGGCGAATCAAAGCGAGGACTAATACACTTTGCCACTTGATGTGGTCGACTTTGATAGTCTGCCATCCAAGTGAAGGCATCCAAGTAGAAACCTTTGCTCAAAGCACCTTTCTGACAGCTGCCACATTGGAAATAAGCGGGTTTACGGCAGCGCCATTAGTGTGAGCTTTGCGGAAAGTGTAAATTCGGACCTAACACAGAAATATGAAGCAGCGCCATTTCAAAACGTCTGCAACCCAATCTTGAGCCATTTCTCATAAGCAGGAAGGCAAGTTTTGCCTCGAACCGGGGGTGTAGTTTCCAACTTATTTGAGGAGATGGGGGAGCTCCAGTCACAGCTTTGGGAAGGAGGTGGGCAAAATCTGGGGACAGGCCCGCCGTAGGTATTTTGGGAATAGGTTTCACCATTCTTCCCTGCTCACCCCCTCCCCCACTTGTTTTGCGAAACTACATCCCTGCCTCGACCCTTCTCGGGAAGATTCGCTGCAACCATCGATACTGACGTTTTAATCCAACGACGCAATGGTAGATGAAAAAAATATAATGCAGACGTAATATCTTTGTGATGCATGGAAGGAATATATTACGTGCCAAAAGTGATGGCTACTGCTCGCGCATGTCTTGTTCTCGTGTGGTGTTAGGGAAATGATGATTACGCTACCGAACGACCACTCTCGTTTCGTCTCGTTTTCGAACGATTTGCAACGCTCTCGTGGCTTGATGTGACGGGCATAATCTTAGCTGATTAGCCATAGCCACCGCACATATCTGCACATTACACTTTGCTTTTGTTTATTTCACAACTCCCTAAGAAAATTGCTGCATTTACAGCCATCCCTTACAGCCTGGCGGGTATCAATGTCGTAGCGATATCGCTGGACTATTCGCCCTTTGTCCGAGTTTTATCGGATTGGTTGGGCGAGAAAGGGGTGTTTTTTAATACACCCATTGATAATGGCAATGCAAAGATAACTATCAGGCATTTCGGTCCTCAAACTAGGCTACTAGATAAAACTGGGATTCTAACGAGCAAGGCAATAGACGTGAAAATTTGGCCACTTTGTCTAGGGAAATTTCCCAAATAAGTGTATGTGGTTAGAGAATTGCAAGTCACATTGCATGGCAATCTAAAAGCAAATATACGACCTACCCTTCGTCCAAAAATGGAATACAAATCCGTACACAACTAATTGAGAAGGAAAGCTATAATGATCTCGCATTCCTGCAATCTTATATCTTCCTTCTACCATTTCCTCGCTGAATCGTAACCAGATTTGTATCCCAACTGACCAGTTTGTTTACTGTAACTCATAAATGCAAATCAGCACCCTTTCCAAATACACGCTAAGAGCATTCAGATGGTTAAAATAGTTCGTGTTTTCTCTAACCGAGAGAACACCCGCTGGGATGTGCTGGATGATCGTCGCACTGGACTTGATGCCTTCCAAAATTTATGGGTCTGCCACCCCTAGCACGCGCTCGGGTGACCGGTTGGATATCCTTTTCCCGGTCGGGGTCAATTTGCCTATCCTGAGATCTCAAGAACTAAGAAAGCTGGGAACGCCAAATTTACAGGGTGTGTTAGCCTGTGCGTGAACTCACTTCGGCCAGTTTTTAGGTTTCTAGGTCATGGTCTTCAGGTCAAATAAGGCTAAACAAGGTCAAACTTCCAAAGTGCCCTCAGAGTCAAGATACCTGTCCTAAGCAGACGGTCACATGCTCATTTAAGGTCAGCGACCTTGTTTAAGTTTTTGAAGGTCATAGTGACCAAAATCATACAATACTGCTTTGATTTTTGCATTTGAATAATCGACGAAGATGACACTTGGCAGTATGTTCCCAAACACAAAATGTTGACCTGGGTCATTTTAGGTCAGTGACCTATTCTGACCTTTAAGACGTCGGTGAAAGACGTGTAAAGCAGTTCCTGCTACGAGTAAATTAAAAATGAGCACCAGGAACTACCCCATAAAGCAAACCGTAAAGTACTAAAGCAGGTCGTTTTTTACCTAGGGTCGCTTTAGGCCATCACAGGTCGCTTTTAGCAGGTCGCTTTAAATAGGTCGCTTAAAACAGGTCGTTTTTGACCGTCATACCTGGTCATACGTCATACTTCATACCATACCATACCATACCTAGGACAATGCAGTTTGTTCATTCAATTGTTGTGTTGCCCAAGGAAGTATGTCAGAGATGTACAGCTTCGTCTAACATCCCGTCGTTGCATCAGATTGAACGATTTCATAGAAATAGACTTCGCTGAATCCATGACCTGGCTTTGACCTGCCATAGGTCAGCCATCTTACAAAGTGTATCTAAATTTTTGATACTAAACGATCCGTTATTCAATTCCCAGCAGCTATGCAAAATTTGACGTCGCTACGCCGTGCCGTTTGGAAACCATTCCGGAAAAACCTTTGGGGGTCAATTTGGTATCCGAAAGCTTGCTTTCATCAAAGCATCCTAATAAATGCCGGATAGATCTACTTGGTTTAATTAAAACATGCCTTCCGATCTGAAGACTTCGCCTTGATAAGAAAGGCTGAAACAAAATCCAAACACACATTTTTGACAATTATTTTCCCACTTTATTACATTAATTAAAAATTATCTATTGCTTACGTACCCAGGGCGCCGGGCTGTTCACTCCCCCCCCCCACGCCAGCCGTGTTTGCCCCCCTCCCACCTCCCCCTCCCCTCCCCAAAGGGCACCTGACTACTAGAGATACTGCTAAAAACACTCGGATCGATGCCCCAGTGGAAAGATCACCAGTCCAGAACTCGAGGCTGTGGCGGCCCACGTCACATGTCTATTCGGGTTCAGGCACGGCCCGGTGGCGGCCGCTACCTGCAGCGGTGCCGGACCTTCCGCCGCACCCTCCACCGCCTGGCCGCCTGGACCGCCGTCCAATGAGCGGCACTGACACACGGCCAGCCACTCAGCCAGACCGAAAATCGATAGGATGCGGACAAGAGCAGGTGTTGACTGTAATATGAGGCGTTTGCAGCCGCTGTAATTTGAAGCTAATCGCCTACGGCAGCGAAACCCGCCGTCACAGCCTGAGCAGGAGGGTCGTGTGTGAGTGCGTACACTGGTTTGCCGGGTGCTGCAGTACGGGGGCCGGCAGGGTCTCGTGTAGCAAACTAACTGGAGAGGGGGTCATTTCTTAACCACTCAGCCAGCAGAAAGCTAGGTCATCCTGGAGCCAGCATCTCGGCCCCCGATAGGCTTAGGTGAGGGTTAAAATATTGAACATTTCACTCCCCTGAAATCGAAAAGTACTCCTACAGTTTGGCGAGCAGTTACGGTTTTATCTAACTGCTCGATACTTTCTTCCGTCACGTTGCAGCACAAATGTACTCTGCAAGTACCTTTCCATCAGTCCGATTTCCCCAGCACTTCCCAGACCCGTTTCCTCCGTTCCCATCACTAGCAAAACTTCGTTTGATCCCTGCATTCGCATGTATAAAAAATCCTTCGAATCTCAGCAGTACTTCGATCGCTTTCCATACCCTCATTTCTCGTGATCTCGACAGCGAGTTCAGCGGGAGCATATTCACGGTCCTGGAATGCGCACGTGCATCCATTGTACTCTTACCTTTCGTGAAGCCGATGCACAAATGTTTGTGTAATAGCCACATGCTCCCCTGCCTAATCTGCCAAGGCAACGCCACCCTGGCCCAGCGCCATTGTAGCAGGATCTCCTCGGTCTCCCTGCGTGGCTTGCTCACCCTTCCGACCATCCACTCTACGAACAAATGAACATTCCGTAAATGGATCTTCTATCTTCCTTAGAACACTTAACGTCATCCATTTTCATTCGGGCGGTAGACACAGGCCGCCATTAACCGAATAAATCCTCATCGCCCACTCGCTCCCTTGACTCGCTGGCGAACTCTTTTGAGTCTGAAGCGAGACCCCGGCGCAACAGATGAGAGCCGCCTAATCTTTGGGATTAAGGCCGGGCGCTTGGCGCAGTAGATGAGAGCCACCTTACCTTTGGGCTCAGATCGGACCTATGACGCAGCGGATGACAGATGTCTAACTTTGGGATTATGGCCGGGCGCTTGGCGCAGTAGATGAGAGCCACCTTACCTTTGGGTTCAGGTCCGACCCGTGACGCAGCTGATGACAGATGTCTAACTTTGGTATTAGGACCGGGCCTCTTACACAGAAGATGGCAGATGTCTGAATAAAGGATTAAAGCCGGGCTATTCACGCGGAAGATGACAGATGTCCAGCCTTAGTAATGAAACTGGGTCCCTGACGCAGCAGATGGCAGACAGATCTAACCTTGGGATTGAGGCCAGACCCCTGACGCAACAGATGATAGATGTCTAACCTTGGGATTGAGGCCGGACCCCTGACGCAACAGATGACAGATGTCTAACCTTGGGATTGAGGCCGGACCCCTGACGCGACAGGTGACAGATGTCTAACCTTGGGATTGAGGCCGGACCCCTGACGCAACAGATGACAGATGTCTAACCTTGGGATTGAGGCCGGACCCCTGACGCAACAGGGTGCCCGTGATGAACCAGAAGCTGTTGCTGACGCTGAACTGGTTTTCCACCACGTCGTTATCAGCGAAGCACGGGTGCGGGTTGTTCCACTCATACGGGCTGAAGCGCGCCATCACGAACATGGTGAAGGAGACGATAACGTAGGCGGCCATGACGTACAGCCAGATCTCCACAGCCAGCGGGTTCATGAAGCTGAGGGCGCGCAGACGGCGACAGGTTACGACTCGAGCATGCCATCGTGACCTGCATCAGGAGTCGTCCAAGGTGAGGGTGGCGAGCCCGATGGGAGCCCCTTTCGAGCCCTCTGGTGTGTGGCAGACCTCTGCCACACATCTCTGGTCTGGTCTGGTCAACCTCTGGCCTGGTGTGAGGCTAAAAGACGGTAACACGAATACATGACTATGCAACTAGCACGCATCACGAAAGATACGGACGTAGTCAGGGCTATAACTGCTAGATACGAAAGGATCTGGAACAGCTCATCTCTATTGGGATCATGGGTATCTGAAATGTTACAATGAATTACAGGCCGAGAGCTAGAGGCAAGGAAAAGCGACAATAAGTTACAACTGCGCGTTGTGTACGTCGCATGCGCTTAAAAAACACGATGTGCACCGATTGGTGGGGGAACAATCAGCCATTAAATAAAATGGCAATTGTAATGTCCTGCAATGCCGACATTCACTGAGCATTATTGATGCCGTATGATAATGCTGTAAGTTGTGAGCAGGTTGAAACAGAGAGCACCACTCGACAGAGACCGTCCTTCGGGCGTGCGGGTGAGCGCGGCGCAACAGATGGGAGCCGGTGGCGGTCGCGCTTGTCGGGTGCGAAGTGCGCCTGAACGTACGGCCGGACTGACTGGTGCTCACCTGAGCAGACGGCCGGACCGACTGGTGCTCACCTGAGCAGACGGCCGGACCGACTGGTGCTCACCTGAACAGAAGGCTGGACCGACTGGTGCTCACCTGAACATGCGGCCGGACCGACTGGTGCTCACCTGAACAGGTGGGCAGACCGACTGGTGCTCACCTGAACAGACGGCCGGACCGACTGGTGCTCACCTGAGCAGACGGCCGGACCGACTGGTGCTCACCTGAACAGAAGGCTGGACCGACTGGTGCTCACCTGAACATGCGGCCGGACCGACTGGTGCTCACCTGAACAGGTGGGCAGACCGACTGGTGCTCACCTGAACAGAAGGCTGGACCGACTGGTGCTCACCTGAACAGATGGGCGGACAGACTGGTGCTCAACTGAACAGACGGCCGGACCTACTAGTGCTCACCTGAACAGATGGACTGACTTACTGGCGCTCACGTGAACAGACGGCAGGACTGACTGATGCTCACCTGAACAGACGAGTGGGCTGACTCTTGGGCACCTGCGGCAAACAGAACGCCTCTGTCAAGACCTTGGGAGCCGTCGCCAAGATGCTGTCTGTTGTTATCCAACATATTTTAAGCTGTTCCATGGGCTGTTCTGTTCCATGGGCTAACAATTTGAGACTGCATTGAGCGTTCTTGTAAACAGCGAATCGCTAAGCTCAGAGGGCATCGATGAACGACGTGCAGAATGCTACAAGCCACGTCAACCCACCTTGAACAGGATACTAATGCCCAGGTTCATAAAAGGCTTGGTGAAGTCGACCACACTCTCCCTGGCGTAGTTGATAGTCATCGAAGCCACAGCCAGATCCGCCTTCTGTCAATCAGAGAAGGAGCACAGCGTCTCAGGCGCGGGCAGGAGAGCGTCTCGCCTCGTCCCGCACCGTCTCACGTGCGGGCAGGCGAGCGTCTCGCCTCGTCCCGCACCGTCTCGGGCGCGGGCAGGCGAGCGCCTCGCCTCGTCCCGCACCGCCTCAGGTGCGGGCAGGAGAACGTCTCACCTCGTCCCACATCCCTCACATCCTGTGCGTGGGAACTGTGGTGCTCGTAGCGCGGTGGTCAGGCTGCGAGTCTGGGAAACCAGAGGTGCGGAGTTCGGGATATCAGAAGTTCGATTGTCCGTGGTGCCCACCCTTCCTGCTAGGGTCACAATTAAGCGACACCGTATAGGCTCAGTAAGGGAGTGCGCCGAAAAGCCCCGATGACGACGGGTGAATGGTAACTTTTACACATTTTACGTGATGAGTTAGGCGAGGCCTTAGTATAACGAATGACCAATAGCCTTTTTCATGATGGATTCATACACTGGCAAACTTTTTTGAAACAATTTCTATGCAGTTTAAGTATGTAACAAACTCTCTGCCGAGGAAAGGATTGTTTCGTACAATTCCATTTCTCCAGCACATGCTTTCAATTCATCCAAATTCTAGAAAAAAAAATACTGGCAATCAATCAGCAATGTCAGCCTGGTAATCAGCAATGTGCATCGGTCGAGGGCGTTGGATGCTGGCTGTGTCAACACTTTACATGGGTGCTGTGCGGAGCAAGACGGGCTCTCAGGGTCATTTCATTCATGTATCACTCATCTTGGATCGCGTTAGGGCAATGTGAATCCGCTAAGTACTTTAAGTAAGCTTTGTATGTACTGAAAGTAAGCTCTGTAAGCACTGCATACCTATGGACAAGGACGCTACAAGGATACAGGGTTTTTTGTAGCGTCTGCATCAGACATGCCAAGGAATGTTTTTAAAATGTTCAGAAAAGCTTCGGTAGGAACAGACTTGTCATCACATGTGTCCATAAAAACAATCTGCCTATAGCAAGCTAAACAACAGTTTTATCAAATTATGCGTCTTTACAAACATGCTTTCAAATCCCCGCCAAACATTTCTAGACAACAATGGCTGATAAAAGACATGCTGTTAGAAAAAAATGTTGATTTTTAAAAAGTTTTTAAGGTTTTGCACCGTGATCCGTCTTAAAAACGGCTAGTCGTTCCGAATATTGTCGCCGTCTGGTGCATCAGTATATACCCAACGTTGTAGTCCGCTAGTTCTCCGGGTGTCGTCAAGTGTTATTGCGGAGAAGGATCGAATGAAACTTACCTTTGTTGTGGGGGACGGGGCATGATGAGAATCACAGGATGCGGAACCCTGACCTAGGATCGAAACAAGACAAAGCGGGGGATTTCCTTTCCCCAGTTTCCCCAATTGTACCCAAGATGAAATGCAATTCCCGGTTAGATCAGTGGTAGATTGCTGGAATCGTAATCAGAATATCATGGTTTAAATCCCAGCAATTCCAATGCGAAAATCCAAGTAGAGAAGCGTGCTTGGCTGCAAAACAAGCATATTCCCGAACCCAGCACCCAAAGACAGTTGATGCCGTCAGGAGAATTATCTGGTCGAAACTTTGTGTGCCCAGAAGAGGGTAGCCTGAGTTTTGGGAAGGGTGGAGGTGGGGGGTAGGCGTACAAGATTGACAAAGGGCTACCTGATGGTGAAAGGTGCTCAAAAGGTGCTGAAAGGACCCTTCCCGAAATGAAGTACTGGGCGTAGTCCATTTGATTTCAGGAGAATGCGGTCTTCAGATAATTTTTCCTTGAACCGAACAAGAAGTTAAAAGCGGCCGGAAGATGTAATTCCGTTTGTATCTTGAAATCGATAAGGTGAAGGAAGCAAGCGGTAAATGACCGTATAGAATAAACCACTGTGCTGATCGCTTTATAATGGTTCAGTATGTCCGCTTTCAAGCGATAGCGCTCAGCAGCCTTGTCGGAATTTTTGCTGGGTTCTACAGAGATATTGAGCACCCCGTGAACTTCCACTATTTATCGAAATGGTACCAAAATACGCTTTGACATGGCCAGCCCATGTTTGTCTGGGGTGTTTAAACTTCGGTCAGAAATGAAATTGAAACCAACTGTATGATGTTAGGCACATACTCGCTTGCAAACCTCACATTTAAAACCCGAGGCCCGGCATTGCTTCTCCGTAGCTCATGCTTTGTCGGCCCCACGGTTAACACTAAGCGGCAGCCGACGAGTGAACGAAAATCATGACGTGTCTGAAAGAAGCACCGTTAGAACGCGTAGAACACCAATTAGTAGGCTTAAAATGTAGATCGAGTGTATATTTCACCTCCACAATTTTCTACATTTATGACAGCAAAGCATGAGCATTTCCAGTGACTGATGATGAATGACTGACATGACCAGTGAACCGATGCTGGGTTCTGGTGGTGAACCATGGTAAGTAAATATTTACAAGTTTATGCTTTCGTGTTGCTGTGGCTAAACAGCTGTTTAGAGAGCATTCTTAAAGATATAAAGGTGAAAGATTCGGCCCACTCTAAGATTTGAATGATGTGAATTTATCTTGAAAACCCCCCTGAAACATAATATCTCGCGGCCGTTCTCGCACGTCCGACGCCCGTCGGTCGGCCGGGCGGAGCCCCTCCGCCGCCTGGCCGCTCGCCTTCAGTTGTTTGGCTGTCCATCGACGCACTTTACTGCTAAAATTATCTGTGCTTTTCAAGCCCCGCGGAAAACGGCACGGATACGACTTGCCCGCGGCGAGGGAGCCCCAGACCATCTGGTCGGAGGCCCAACGCCTGAGTGTCTCTGCCAGCTGGCCTCGGACGGCTCACCTTGTCCATGAGGCGTCGCACGACGCCGTTCCACTGGCCCGTCTCGGCGTCCTGGTAACCGAACACGCCCTCGGGCGCCAACTCCAGCCGGTACCGGAACCCAACCATCTCAGCCACGCGCGCCAGCAGGTCCACGCAGAAGCCCTCGAACCTGCTGTTGCCCGTCAGGTTGGCGTTGCTGCTCAGCATGACGAACGGCCGCTCCTGCCGGAGGGGTCTCACAGGAACCGGGCACGCGCGTCGCTCAAACAGCGCTGATGGCAGTGGTGTTGGGGATGGCGATGCTGTTGCTGGAGGTCATTGCACAAATATCGCAAGTTTTCCTACGGTTGCAAAGGGTTTTTCAATGGATGAGCTAGAAACTGTGCCATCACTTAAAACATGTAATTATCATGCATCACTTACAACATTTAGTTCAAATAATCTGGACCAGCTGGACTGGGCTGGACCAGATGCTGAAATTCAGTCTGTGTAGTGCTATGCAATGTACTTATTTGTAAGTGTAAAACTAAGCTTGCATGACTTTCTCAACAGAGATGTTGATAATGAAAGGCAGATAGGTACAGACTGTTAACCGAATGAGTTCGCGGAATGGCCATCTTAATGGAATCATCAATGATTTGACATGCAATGGAAATCGATGTTAGTATTAAATGGCGAAAATCTTGATGTTTTATGGTGATGAGCTAGGAGTTGCCACGTTGAAAATAACCCACCTTCATTATGTCATGAGAAAGTGGTGGACAACATCTTCAAAGATATTGAAGAAGCTCGATATTTTGAACCAATGTTGACGGCCAGTTTTCTTCACATGAACTGATTAACACCGCTCCAATATATCTTGCACTCACCGCACAAAGTGCGCTGATTATATTCCCCGATGCCTTGCGTGTGGTTCCACAATCTTGCAGATATATTGCCAAGTTGCCCTTTAAATCGTCCCGTCCCACAATGTGCTTAGTCGGTTCCTATAGCTCCACTGGTTAGGGCGCATGCCTTCTGATTCACGGACCTGTGACGGGGGTGGGCACCAGTCACTTTAGCCGCTCCCTTTTTGTCCCCGACTGGGTCCCTGAGTGGCTTCAACGGGATGTGGGACACTGCACACGTTGCAGATTTCACTGGATTTTTCGGGAATCGTTTCGCTGGAATCCAGACCAGCCTTAAACTGCTATGCTGTGCCTTTGATGTGAAAAAGTGCGACAAGGACACTTGCCGCTGTTGAGGGGAACATGAATTAACTGCTATATGGGCAGCCGCATGTTGCAGTCAATTGTTCTTCATCTCAATGCAGGTTTTATCACGTAAAAAACTTGTCGAAATTGGCAGCCTGGGTCAATATATGAATGAGATGGCATGTAAAAAACAACGTGTCTATGTTTTTAGTTTGCTAATAGTTGTGATATTCGTATCTGTATTTTTTCGGCCCACTTTTCCGTTTCTGTTTATATGCATTGCGGGGGGCCAGAGAAGAGGCGGGGAACTCCAGTTGGCACTAAGGGATCATATTCCCCCCCCCCCCCCCCAGCACACCTGGAAGTACATCAGATAACGTCCCTGCCTGCAACGCGCGCAGTTGCTGCGCTAAATGAAGACATTTAGATGTGTGAAGAGAAACTAGGGTTCTTTATAACTGACTTTAGGTTCAGTTAACGAGCAGCCATTTTTATTCTACTACGCAACAAGACGCCAACAAACTTAAGAAATCTACATGATATTCCTTTGCACGATGCCGTAGACAAACTTCTACTCTTCGCTATCAAAGTATCCACGACGCCATCCAGGACTGGGGTCTTGTGCCAAAGTGGAGATAAGCGAGCGGAAATTTTGCCTACAAAGTTGCATGCTTGGCTTCAGGCTTTATGATAAAATGTAAGTGTTGTGAATGAGATGTATCACCAAGGCCGTTCTTCCGTTTATCAGCCTTGTGGCAAAGGCGTAGGGTTGACTTCCATTCGCGTGGACGCGACATCTATTGCCTGCTGAAAGCGTCTGTTCCGCTATACTCAGACTATGCGGCGCAGCATACCTTCCAGGCACCCACCTGCAGGAGCGTAAGCCCAGTCTAGGCAGCTGGGGTCTGTCATGCATGTGTGAAACACCTGGACTATATCTCATAGGTTTCACATGCCACAAGTGTGAGACATATTCTAAGGCGCTGCTTAAATATAGAGCGCCTTAATATTATATACAAATTTGTTTTAAATATTATATAAGGCGTCTCTCTATCTTTCTCACTCTCTCTCTCTCTCTCTCTCTCTCCTCTCTCTCTCTCTCTCTCTCTTCTCCTCCTCTCTCCCTCTCTCGGCTCTCTCTCTCTCTCTCTCTCTCTCTCTCTCTCCTCTCTCCTCCTCTCTCTCTCCTCTCCTCTCTCTCTCTCTCTATCTCTCTCTCTCTCTCTCTCTCTCTCTCTCTCTCTCTCTCTCTCTCTCTCTCTCTCTCGTCTCTCTCTCTCGCCGCTGTTTCTTCCGCTCGCCCGAGTTGCCCATCACCGAAGCGTCCGCCGGGCCAGGCGGACTGGCGCCCGGCCGCCGAATGCACGTGTAATGCCGGTCCGCGCTGGGGATAGCGGGGAAGCGATGCGCGGCCGGTGTTGTGTGTGTGTGTGTGTGTGTGTGTGTGTGTGTGTGTGTGTGTGTGTGGTGTGTGTGTGGTGTGTGTGTGTGTGTGTGTTGTGTGTGTGTGTGTGTGTGTGTTGTGTGTGTGGTGTGTGGTGTGTTGGGTGTGTTGTGTGTGTGGTGTGTGTGGTGTGTGGGTGTGTGTGGTGTGTGTTGTGTGTGTGTGTGTGTGTGTGTGTGTGTGTGTGTGTGTGTGTGTGTGTGTGTGTGTGTGTGTGTGTGTGTGTTGTGTGTGTGTGTGTGGTGTGTGTGTGTGTGTGTGTGTGTGTGTTGTGTGTGTGTGGTGTGTGTTGTGGTGGTGTGTGTGTGTGTGTGTGTGTGTGTGTTGTGTGTGTGTGTGTGTGTGTGTGTGGTGTGTGTGTGGTGTGTGTGTGTGTGTGTGTGTGGTGTGTGTGTGTGTTGTGTGTGTGTGTGTGTGGTGTGTGTGTGTGTGGGTGTGTGTGTTGTGTGTGTGTGTGTGTGTGTGTGTGTGTGTGTGTGTGTGTGTGTGTGTGTGTGTGTGTGTGTTGCAGACCCGCGCTTGGATAAGTGACTAATAGCAACGGTCGACGCCGGTCCGGTGTGAACTACCGAGGGGGTCAGCTAAAGAAGGAGAGCAGATGTTCGCGACAGGCAGGCGCGGGTGGTATTCGGTTTTAATGTAGATCAAGCCTGCTGTGTGTCTGCCTTTTTCATCAAAATATTTAAAGGGAATTGTATTTGAACGTACCTGAACTTCACATTTGAACATAGTGAAGCAAACATCATATATGATAAAATAAGCTCGCTCATAACTATTGATATAATTATAAGTGGAAAAGATTGCTCTAGAGAGCACAATTTCTCTGTTTAGTAAATTAACTCATCAATACGTTATGGTTTGGCTACGCTATCTTACCTTGCACAACACACATCTTCGCGGGCGTATAGCTCAGAAACTAGGGTAATTAGATCTTAATTGAACTGCAACGAATGATCCTCTAGATGGCTATTCCGGTTAAAAACCCCATACAAGTGTGAAACACTTCCCTTTGCGCGTATAGGCAACAGCAGATAGACAGCAATTACAGCGCGCAATTTTACATATGAAAGCCGACACGGGAACGGCAAGGCACACTGGCGGCACAGAGAGCGCAGGAGTTGGCCAATGCTGGATATCGTGCTCTTGCGCATGCTTCCACGATAAAATAGTGTTCTTAAGACAACGCACCGCATTTTAGTACTTCCGGAGAGTTTATAAATGCTAATTTCGAGCGCGTGCATTCCTTCTTTCGCGTGATCGAACGTCGTGACGCTGCTACGAGACGGCAGCAGTGCTAAACAAAATTCACCTTCACCAATTCACCAATTTACCAGTGCTAAAAAACATTCACCGGGGAAAATTGAAGTGGTTGCATGGCACTAACGACTGCATGTCTCTGGGGAGTGCGGAAAATATGCAGGTTTATTGTTGGAGTGTCTCAATGCACGGCTATTTCCAGTCTACTGAGCACTCTCTGTCCATTCATATTACTGACTGTGACGCGAATGCAGATTAAATGATGCTGGGTGACGGTTCATTTCCTTCACGAGTGATGGGTCATTATCGACGCGCAACGCAAAAAAGGCAGTGTCAGCCACATCGGTGAAGAGGGCGGGTGTGGCTGGCGGTCACGGGTGTCGCTCAAGCCATGCCAACTGTCCTTAACGTCCGCGCTTAACCATTCAAAGATGTCAGTCCCGACTGCCGGTTGGTGTGTCACGCCAACATTTCTCAGTATTCTCCACTCGTGCCGGCAAGCACGCGGACCAATGAGCCTGCATCATTTGTCACGCGGACCCTCAGGGAAACGTTTAGCTCTATGAACAGCCACGCCTCGGCCGGGCGGGCGGCTGTCGCCAGCTACGCCTCTGGCGGCGGCGGCGGCGGCGGCGGCGGTGGCGGCAGGGATAGTCACGGCCTCCACTAATGACCTGGTTATTCGTCCCTGCGCGTGCGGCATTGTCCGCCCGCACCCGGCATCCAGACGACATCCCCTGAGCTTCCGCCCAGCTCAGCAAGAAATCGGTGGACGTGACGGGACTGGCTAAATCACGCGTGAAAGCGCCTCATGGGACGCTTACTGGGGGCGCCTTCTACGCCTGATGAGGCGCTTAATGATGGTGCCATCTACGCCTCATGGGACGCTTAATGATGGTGCCGGCTGTGCATGATAAGACCCTCAATGATGGTGTCAGCTACGCCTCATGGGACGCTTAATGATGGTGTCATCTACGCCTCATGGTATGCTTAATGATGGCGTCACCTACGCCTCATGAGACGCTGACTGATGGTGTCATCTACGCATCATGAGCGTAAATGACCATATAATCATGCATTCGATATGCATGGCCTATGATGTGTTATAGCTCGTAGATCATACTTGACCAAGCTGCAGCGCGGGTGGATTTCTCTTGTCACATTGCAGCTATATGGCCGCAATGCGAGGAAAAATAAACACCGATTAACTTGAAACGCGAAGACAAAATTCCAAGTGGTTGCGGTTGAGCAATTTGAACTGGAAGTCAACGACAACAAGTATTTTTGGTGAAACGGCTGTGCAGTGAAATGTACCCTTGAAATACTTTTCAATAAAGGCTCGAACGATAACAAGGATATTGGAAAGGTGGTTTCATGATATTTTTCCAGTATTGTGACATTTCATTAGCCCATGCCCTATGTTGCAGCCTGACAACACTTCCAGTTGATGTCTTTTCCAAAATATATCACCACCACAGACTCTGTACTAACTGCAGAAAGGGGCAGCAGGCAAGCACGACTTGGCCATGCTGCGTGTCCAGCCCAGTTATGAAAACTCTTGTGTTTGGTGGTCGCCTTGCTGAGTTAGTGATTGAAAGTTTACAAAGCAACAAAAAGTTGGTTAACGGTCTCGTCTATAATGCACCTTCGACACACTGCAGTCGGCACCGGCCAGCGCAGCCGTCTGTGCCGTCACCACAGGCCGCACGCGTCGCCCGGGCGGGGTGCCAGCGAACAGGGCGGGAGCGGCAGGGCGTTGCGGACAGAGTATCAGCGGACAGGGTGTCAGCGGACAGGGTGTCAGCAGACAGGGTGTTAGCGGACAGGGCGTCAGCGGCAGGGCGTCAGCGGCAGGCCGCCAGCGGACAGAGTATCAGCGGACGCGGACAGGGTGTCAGCGGACAGGGCGTCAGCGGCAGGGCGTCAGCGGACAGAGGATCAGCGGACAGGGTGTCAGCGGACAGGGTGTCAGCAGACAGGGTGTTAGCGGACAGGGCATCAGCGGACAGAGAGTCAGCGGACAGAGTATCAGCGGACAGGGTGTCAACGGACAGGGCGTCAGCGGCAGGGCGTCAGCAGACAGGGCGTCAGCGGATAGGGTGTTAGCGGATAGGGTGTCTGCGCTGTGCCCGGCGCCCGCCAGACCGAGCACATGCCGAGCCGGCCCTTGGCATGGCCTGCGCTCCTCCAGAGCGCCCTGGTTCCGCCACGATCCCTCTCATCCTCTCTCCCATCTAATCCGACAGCCAGGACGGTCCCTCTCAGGTCAAGGCCGTACAGCGCCGTGGTGACGGGGTCTTACCAGTATGGTGGTGACAAGCAGGGTGACGTTAGGCACGCTGGCGCCGAAGAAGGCTGTCTTGTTGGTCAGCACGATGCCGTCTTGCCGGCTCCACCAGCCGACCTTGCGCATGCCGGCATCGGTCAGCTTGAGCATGTGGAGGTGGAGTGCGGAACGGCGGCCCTCGGTGAACTGCACGGCCCCGGTCAGTCCAGCCACCCGCACCTGAGCGGCACAGCGGCGGGTCTCAGTGAACGCACGGCCCCGGTCAGTCCAGCCACCCGCACCTGAGCGGCACAACGGCGGCCCTCGGTAAACTACACAGCCCCGGTCAGTCCAGCCACCCGCACCTGAGCGGCACAGCGGCGGGCCTCAGTGAACTGCACGGCCCGGTCAGTCCAGCCAGCCGCACCTGAGCGGCACAGCGGCGGCGCCAGGCGGACTGTCATCCCTGCCGTCCTCAGCGGAGGAGATGGGTGCACTGTTATCCCGGCCGTCCTCAGAGAAAGCGCCAGGTTTACTGTCATCCCAATGCATTGCCGAGCGCAAATCCACCTCAAATCACCCTTGTTATGCTGGCTTTCTTTTTTCGGCATGATATGTCACACCTGATCGCACACTTCTACCACGATGCTTTTAGCAAGGGCGCTCAAAAAGCAGCGCAGACAACGCGTAAGGACTTGAAAGGCACTGACATTACACATGGACGGTGTAATATTACCAGTTAGTGTTTGTTACCTTTGTTCCCCATGCGTATGATGACTGTGTGCGTGTTTGTGACGGGAAGGGGGGGGGGGGGGGCAGCATTGACGTCGTCTGTTGTTCTGGCTGAGACAGCGGCTATGACGTCACACCCGCCCGCGCCCGCTGCTGATCCCGTCTGGCGGCGCCGGGCCTCCCCTCGGGATCACACGGGCCGTCGCCGCCACCCGGTGACGTAATTGGCCCCGAGTCAGCTGGCTGTCTGAAGCGGCGGGGCAGAGCTGGAGGCGAACAGCACTCCCGGGACCTCAGCACCGTCACTTGGCGTGTGCTGCTTTGCTTTTACAAAGGCGATGTTCACGTACGCAGCCGGCTGTGTGTTTTCTATGGTGATACAACTCTAATATGCACCGCTTAAGGGGAGTATGTCGCATTTTTTGTGCGTTTTACTCACAGATCAGACGTACTTAATTTGGTCGGTAATACCCGATTTGTCGATATCCTGAACAGCTTATCACTTACATCTGAACTAGCCGCTCCAGTGAAAGAAGTGCCAGTGAACGCCTGCTCACTACTATGAAAGGGAATACTTTTTATTTGCTTTACTTTTCCCAATATCTATGTTATATAATACATGCTGTGAAAGTTTGGGAGACACTACATGGGCAAAAAGAGAAAAGAATATGAAGGCTTTGCCACGCGAATTAAACAACACGTCAAATTGTGACAACGATTTTTCTTCTGTGGCGTTTATCACATTGACTCTTTTCGAAGGGCACGTTGGCTCTGGAAATCGTCATTTACTTGGATGTTCAGCTCGTTGCAAGGCCGTATTTTTTAAAGCTGATATTAGTACACCAGTGACACATCATATGGTCTAGTGACGCTCAAATGTCCAAACTTCCGCCAACGCATTTCTTGCCACATGTCTTCGCCGCCCGCTGCGCTACAAGCGTCATCCAATGAGAAACATTCATTTCTACCTACCCCATTCACACCCATTAATGACGAAGTACGTTCTGAGTGCCGCACGTCAGGTAAGTATACCATGAGCCTGATTGGTGATGTTCGCGAGTCGCTTTTTCTCTTCATCATACCAATTCACCAACCCATTTTGAACGAGACCGACGTTGAGTTCCCAACTATAGTCGCTGAGACTACAACGAACGTCTACTTGACTCCCGCTTGAGCGTCTTGTGTGCATCAAGATCCCCCATTCCAGAAGCGGGAGCCACTGAGTCCGGCTAAGGCGGCCGCTTACCGAGCTTAGAAAGTTGTAGAGGCTGAGGCCGGCTGGCCAGGCCACCAGGCGCTCGCAGGTGACATTAGGCGGCGCCAGCGGACCGTCGACGCCCAGCGCGTGCAGACCGTGCGCGAACACGCTCACGCTGTCGATCATGAGTGCCGTCTCCGCCTGCGGGCGAGCGCTGGTCAGCCGCCGACTGGTGCTGTGAAACGGCACGCACTTCTGACATCTGTCGCCTTGGGCGGAGCCTGATCACACGGCGCTGTTGGACAGCGCTGGCGCAGCGGCAGCCGGCCGGTCTCCGACAAAGCCTGATGACGCTGCGCTCCCTCCTAGAACATGCTAAAGCAGTAGCTGCCGGTCGGCACGCACCTCGATGACGCCGTGCTGCTGGACCATGCCGGAGCCAACCGGCTGGAAGTGCTCCATGGCCTCCACGGCGTCGCGCACCCACGGCGCCTCCGAGTCGACCAGACGGAACGCCGTCATGTTCACCAGGTTGTACCGGAAGTCTTCCAAGTCGAAGCCTTCCGCGTCCTGGAAATCATACGAGCATCATTTTGATTTTCGCCTTTTTGTTCAGCTGTTGTTTTATCATTCAAACGCTCTGCATGGTATTTTACAAAAGATGGACTTTTGTTTAATGACAAGGCCACTGCAACAAACGTGCACATGAAGTTGTGTTAAGTTTATGTCTCGTCTTACAAAGGAAGTAAGTGTCCACTTACAAAGGAAGTGAAGAGATAATGGTAGCGATAGTCGTTCATCTGAAGCTGCAGCAACTGGAAACAGTTGGACACATTATGATCGTCGGCGACAGACACCTGCTTCTGCCTCTGCTCAGCAAGTGTTGACCAACTGTATCAAAAACAGGTACAAGTGGGACGTGCTAAGCAGGCTTGTACTCATTATACCGGCATCTAACCTAGCAGTGACGGGAGAGGTTTCGATGCCTATTACAAATAATGTCGGGTCGCAAAATGGCTACGTTTTTGTCATATTTGCAGCCAACAAAAGACAAAACGCACGCCAAAAGAAACCGCGCCCCTTACAAGTACACGCTGCCCACAAACAGAGCCCGACACGCACACGGAGCGCGCCCGTTTGTTGGCGTCCGCGGCGATCAATGCCGAATCAGTCAGCCGACAGAACGGTGGCATAACTGGCAACCACAGCCGGAACGAATAGAAATGGGACACTTGCCAAATGAAGCCTGGCTGGGAAGATGGCCGCAGTGTGATGATAAGAGCCGCTTTTATTACGTGCTCTTTTGGAAGTGTGCCCAGGCTTAGTGAGACAGCATAATACACTAGGGTAGAAACAGAGGGGCAACTTTCAAGAAGGGACAGTCAGAAGACGCATGTTGAAAGGCATGGAAGTCTCTCATAGTCGCTCTCTTCAGATGCTATTTCGCTCCCACAAGCTATCATCGATCTAGATCAAAAGGTTTTCTGCGATGAAGGATGCCATCGTTATGGTTTCGCACTATATAATTCATGGCATGGGAGCCATGCTGTCCGGCTGCGTCACGGACATACGTGTATGAGGTATTC